CAACTCAGTGAGTTAGTGAGCTCAGGTCTTCTGTATCCTGTGCCCTCTAGGTCACACAGTGGCTAGTGGCCAATCTGAAACGAGAACTCAGGCCTTGAGATGCACATACCGAGTTCTTTTCATGGAGCCACAACAACTTGTCACAGGGATACCAGGGAGTAGGCAGGCCCAAGGTCCCTCTCTCCTGCACTGCTGGGTCACAGAAGACACAGGGAGATCATGTTTCCTTTCCTTTTCCATCTTCAATGAGCAAGCCCAGCTGCTTTCTGCCCTGGCTGCACAGTAGACCCCCTGGGGAGCTTCTGAAAAATTTTGACACTCAAAACTCACCCCAGGTCAATTAAATCAGTCTGGTGGCAGGCCCAGGCTTCAGTGTTTTAAAGCTCCCTAGGTGGTTCCAACTTGCAGCTAAGTTTGAGAAACATGAGTCTAGCCCTTCTTTCTCGTTTTTCCTATTTTCTTGACGGCCAGCCGGCATCCTTCTCTTGCTCCCTCTGTTTCTTTTTTTTCTAATCCTCAGGGGGGTTTTTCTGGTTTTTTTTTTTGTTTTTTGTTTTTTGGTTTTTTTTGACAGAGTGTCACTCTGTTGCCCAGGCTAGAGTGCAGTGGCACAATTTTGGCTCACTGCAACCTCCATCTCCCACGTTCAAGCAATTCTTCTACCTCAGCCTCCTGAGTAACTGGGACTACAGGTGTGTACCACCATGCCCAGCTAATTTTTGTCATGTTAGTAGAGATGCGTTTCACCATATTGGCCAGCCTGGTCTCGAACTCCTGACCTTGTGATCTGCCCGCCTCAGCCTCCCAAAGTGGTGGGATTACAGGCATGAGCTACCTGGCCTAATCCTCAGGTTTTAACATTGCAATCACATGGTTAAGTTCAGGCTGCTGCCATTCCAAGCCATTTAAAACATTAGCCAAAAACTTAGCTTTGTGTTCCCCTTCTGATCTACTCTTCTCTCTCTCTCTCAGCTCGGCTGAGTCTTTGCTTCCTTCACCAGTGCCGCCCTCAACTCCCACCCAGGCCTCACTCTCCCAGGAGGGGCTACCATTTCTAGCCCTTCTATCAAAGCCTCCCTCCTCCTTGGCTTCAGTCCCAGATGACTGTGAGGCTGGACTCGAGGAACTGGGAGCTCAGACTGGATGGAAAGCTTTGGGGACGCTGCTCCTATGATTATTGGTCCCACAGGAATAATTCTTCCAGCAGCTCTTCTTTTTTTCTTGCTGGCTAAGTGTGTGGGTGTGCAGCAGGCATTTGCTAGGGAACGTGGGCAAAAAATAAAACTTTTCAAGCTTCAATTCTGCAGACAGATTGAGAGGCCTCCCAACAGTTCAGAATTGCTGAATCTGTCTCCATCCACCCACTTACCCCCCCAGGAAGTGGTAGATCGAGTTCGATGTGTTTTGATTTGTTAACAGTGGCCTAGCTTATGGGAGTTTAACTCATAAGGATGATGCTTTAAAATAAACTAGTCAACAAAGAATTATCAAACATTCATTGCATGCAGGGCACTGTGCTAGGCACTGATTAAACCCAAATGTAAGGTCACCTCTCCTGAGGGTATTTTATGGGCAATAGAAGGAGACAGGAAGAGAGGGGAATAGGAATAGGAAGGAAATAAAAAGCCATAAAAGCGAAAAGGGTTAGGGGTAGAAGGATGACAGCTGTGTGTTTAACTTCCCAGGACTTAAAGTCCTAAACTATTTGTCCAGTCCATTCTCACCAACCATATTGGAGCCACCATGTTGTTTTAATCTTGTCATTTGACCTCCAAGGTATTTTGGGGGCCCCTCAGAGAGCTTAGCAAACATTATCCTAAGACAGCTGCAGCTTCTTTCTCAATCCATCTCCATCTCCCTCTGCGCGTGTGTCTTTTTGTCACTTTCTAATTCCCACACTTTATCTCCCTTGCTATCTCTTAGATACATAACATTTTTTCACGAATACGTAAAGAAGTAAATCCAAGCTCTCAGCCGTTTATCAAACTAATAATGAATATTATTGGTGGAAATGACCAACACAAATTAACAGCTAAAATTACATATAGGAAAAAAATGGTTATAGATGGAAAATTGCCTGAAGAGTCAAATCTTCTTGACAAAATGTAGACATCCAAATAGGATCAAGAAAAATTGGGTTTGGTAGAAATAATGGCCACGAAGTAAAATCCATGAAGGCAGATGTTATAATTGGTAAAATTTGACATGGACAAAAACTTGATAATGAATCAAATTTTGTTGTAAAATTTAAACAGAGGCAGGAGGATTGCTTGAGGCTAGGAGTTCAAAACCAGCCTGGACAATAGAGTGAGACTCCATCTGTATTGAAAAAAAAAAAAAAAAGAGGCTGGGCATGGTAGCTCATGCCTGTAATCCCAGCACTTTGGGAGGCTGAGTGGGGCGGATCACTTGAGGAGAGGAGTTCAAGACCAGCCTGGTCAACATGGTGAAACTCCGTCTCTACTAAAAAAAAAATACAAAAATTAACCAGGCGTGGTGGTGGGTGCCTATGTTCCAAGCTACTTGGGAGGCTGAGGCAGGAGAATCACTTAAACCTAGAAGGCAGAAGTTGCAGTGAGCCGAGATCGCACCACTGCACTCCAGCCTGGACAACAGAGCAAAACTTCGTCTCAAAAATAATAATAGTAATAATTGATGCCAATGAAAATAACATCAATAAACTATATATAAAATGGTAAAAACTGGAAACTGTGCTGTATGAAAAATTGATCAGTGAATTTCATTACTAATGACATTTGTTCTAGAGACACACTTTCTTGATGGAAGTCTGTCAACGTTGGCATAATTCTGATGAGAATCTAGTGAAATTTCTACTGGGGTAGCAATAACAGTGAAAAATATCATGACCCCATAGGGGCTGCCTGCTGACAGGCAGCAAGGTGAAAACTCCAACAGGGTGGGGCTTAGGAATCTGTATTTCTTTTAAAAAATCAAAAACATAAAAACCCCTCCATCTTTTGAACTATAATGTAAATGAACCAACTAGTAACGAAATGTTTGGGGAATAACCAGAAAAATTTGAACATTGACAGGATGCTGGAGAGTATTATGCCATTATTATTATTATTATAAGCACGATGATGGTATTGTGGTCATATATTTTTAGTTATGGACTGCACTGTATGCCCCCAAAATTCACATGTTGAAGCCTCAACCTCCATTGCGACTGTATTAGAAGAAGGCCGGGCGCGGTGGCTCAAGCCTGTAATCCCAGCACTTTGGGAGGCCGAGGCGGGTGGATCACGAGGTCAAGAGATCGAGACCATCCTGGTCAACACGGTGAAACCCCGTCTCTACTAAAACTACAAAAAATTAGCTAGGCATGGTGGTGCGTGCCTGTAGTCCCAGCTACTCAGGAGGCTGAGGCAGGAGAATTGCTTGGACCCAGGAGGCGGAGGTTGCGGTGAGCCGAGATCACGCCATTGCACTCCAGCCTGGGTAACAAGAGCGAAACTCCGTCTCAAAAAAAAAAAAAAAAAAAAAAAAAAAAAAAAAAAAAAAAAAAAAAAAAAAAAAAAAAAGAAGAAGGACCTTTAAAGAGGTAACTGGGGTAAATGAGGACCTAATCTAGTAGGAATGGGGTGGGGTCCTAACTAATAGGACTGCTGTCCTTATAGGTATAAGAGCCATGGGGTGGGGCACTAGCATAAAGAAAAGGCTATGTGGCGGACACAGTGAAAATGTGGCCATCTGCAAGCCAAGGAGAGAGGCCTCAGGAGATACTTACCCTGCCAGCACCTTCATCTGGACTTGTAGCCTCTAAAAGTGAGAGGAAAAAAAAGTCTATTGCTTTAGCCACCCAGCCTATGGCATTTGTTATGGAAGCATTAGCAAACTAAAATGAATCCATATATATTAGAGATACCCACTGAATTACTTATGAGTGGAATAATATGATGTCTAAAATTTTGCTTTAAAATACTCCAGAAATAAAAATTGAGGATAGCAGATAGACAAAACAAGACTAGCTAAGGTTGACAGTTATTGGAGCTGGGTAACAAGAACTTGGAGGTACAGTGTGCTATTCTTTTCTACTGTGGACTATGTTTGAAAATCTCCAAGGCCATGCACAGTGGCTCATGCCTGTAATCCCAGCACTTTGGGAGGCTGGGGTGGGCAGATCACCTGAGGTTGGGAGTTTGATACCAGACTGACCAACATGGAGAAACCCCATCTCTACTAAAAATACAAAAATTAGCTGGGCATGGTGGCACATGCCTGTAGTCCCAGCTACTTGGGAGGCTGAGTAAGGAGAATCACTTGAACCCGGAAGATGGAGGTTGCAGTGAGCAGAGATTGTGCCACTGCTCTCCAGCCTGCTCGACAGGAGCAAGGATCCAACTCAAAAAAAAAAACCAAATCCAGCCAAGGCGGGCGGATCACCTGAGGTCGGGAGTTCAAGACCAGCCTGACCAACATGGTGAAACCCCGTCTTAAAAAAAAAAAAAAATCCAAATAAGTTTTTAAAAATTGACAGGGAAAATTGTACAGGTTATTTTTCTGTATATTCAAGTAGATAATTACAAGAAAAGGTTTCCCATAATCTTGCATTCTTATCTGTGCTACTGTGGCCTGGAATAAAATGTGTTACAAATGTGTATTTATAAATAAAACATTAACTAAATATAATAAGGGAAAAGGGAAAAGGATAAAAATGCCAACTGCAGAGAGTGGAACTGTGGACAAGGGGCAAGCAGTCTGAGAAGGAGGAATCAGTATTTACTGAGGGCCTAATACATACCAGGTGCTTTGTAGACTTATTCTTTGGATACTCACATGGGTCTATGAAGTAGACTTATCATTTCAGTCCTTTAAGAACATTTTAATATGAAGAAACTAAGGCCCAGGGAGGATGAATGAATTCCTAAGATCACATATTAGGAAGTGGCTGAGCTGAGATTTTAATCCTGTCTGCTTCCAAAACTTGCATTCTTTTCTCTGTACTTTTCTCTATTAAAACTTACATACCTTTTCCCTAGATATTGTGAAATATCAGATCATAAAGGACAGAGGAATCCTGAAGAGGATAAAATCATAGAGAGACGGGGCCAGTTAACATTACCAAAGGAGCTGGGCTTGGAGGTAAGTCCTGGAGGTAGAGAAGGGACAAGCAAGCAACCTAGGAGTAGGGAGGGATGGCAAGATGCAGAAACTTGGTAGCAGGTGGAGAACAGGGTAAGAATGAGAGGCCACCACTGCAGGCTCATATTTCTTGAATATGAGGGGGTAGACCAGATGATCTTTCAAATCTAAAATTCTGTCAGCCCTCATCTGGGCCTCTCCACTAGGATGTTCCACCTTCATCTCCAGTTCTACATTTTTAAAACTAGATTCATTACTTTCTCTCTTCCCCACCTGAATCAGTTTCCTCCTGGCTTCCCTCACCTGCTGATAGAGTGATCATTTTCCCACCTACGTTTAACACCTGTAGTCTTTACCAATCTTGTCCAGGCCCAAGTCTTGGGACAGCACTGGTAAACCGATTCTTTGCTCAAAACTCTAAGAGGTCCCCTATCTGTCACTGGAATACCTAAGCCATGTTCTGACCTCAGAGCCTTTGCACTGGCAGTTCTTTATACCCAGAAGGCTCTTCTGCTAGATATCTATCCTAATCTCCTTTAAGACTTTACTGAATGTCACCATCTCAACGAGACCTTCCTTGACCACCTGTTTTAAGTTGCAACTACCTCCATCTTCCCCTGCTGCATGCCTAGTCTCCCATACCCTGATATATTTTTTCCCTCAGCACGTTTTTTTAACACACTATTTGTTTTTCTTTTCTCTTAAAAATTGTGTATCTCCCTTCATTGGAATAGAAGTCAGACAAGGGCAGGGCTTTTTGTCCAATTTGTTCACTTCCCTAACCCTAGAAATTAACCACAATGGCTGGGCACATAGAAATTTCTCAATGAATGAATGAATTCATGTTTTATAAATGAAGTACAGCACAACAGGGAATTTAATAAATAAAGACATGGAAAAGTGCTAGGAAACAAAAAGGGCTGTCGATTCTCCCCACTTGGGAATGTCAGGAAAAATTTCACACGAGTTAACAATTGAGCTGAGATTTAAAGGTAAGTGGGCAAGGCAGATGGGGTAGGTGAATGATGGTTCCCAAAGAGATCAAGTCCTAATCCCTGGAGCCTGGGGTTATATGGTGTATTAGTCCATTCTCATGCTGCTATAAGGGCACACCAAAGACTGGGTAAGTTATAAAGAAAAGAAGTTTAATTGACTCATAATTTCACAGGGCTGGGGAGACCTCAGGAAACCTTACAATTGTGGCAGAAGGGGAAGCAAACGCATCTTTCTTCACATGGTGGCAACAGCGAGGAATTAGAGTTGAGCAAAGGAAGAAGCCCCTTATAAAACCATCAGATCTCATGAGAACTCACTCACTATCATGAGAACACTGTGGGGGAAATTGCTGCCATGATTCAATTATGTCCACCTGGTCCTGACCTTGACATGTGGGGATTATTACAGTTCAAGATGAGATTTTGGGCAGGGACACAGCCAAACTATATAATATGGCAAAAGAGACTTAGCAGATATGACTAAGCTAATTATCTTGAGATGGAAAGATTATTTTGTTTTATCCAGCCGGACCGTAAATGCAGTAACAAATATTCTTATAAGGGAGAGACAAAGGTAGGTTTAGCAGAAGCAGCAGAAGCAGAAGTTGATGAGACAGTGGAGCAAGATGCTGTGCTGCTGTTGGCTTTAAAGATGGAGGAAGGAGTCATGAGCCAAGGAATGCAAAGAATGTGGCTCTAGAAGCTGGAAAAGGCAAGGAAACAGATTCTTCCCTCCAGCTTGTGGAGGGAGCACAGCCTTGCTGCCACCTTGATTTCAGCTCAGTAAAACTGATTTCGGACTCTGACCTCCAGGACTGCAACAGAATAAATATGTATTGTTTTAAGCCACCAAGTTTGCGGTAATTTGTTACAGCAGCCATTAAAAACTAATACAGCAGGCAAGGGCATCCTATTAAGAGGGAATAGTATGTACAAATTATGAATCCCCTGGGAAACTTAATGTACCAGGGTTAAGCAGTAAGGAGTGGAGAAAGATGGGGTTGGAGACATGGCAGGGGCTAGATTGTGAAGGGCCTTGCATGATATGCAGAGGAGTTGGGTGGTATTTTATCAGTGTAGAAGAATGTAATGACCTTCAGTCCTGAATGGCATATTCCTGGCTGCAGGGAGTGCTGCTGGTAGATGGCCGTTACTTGCAATTCTCTTCTGGGATCTCTCTTTTATGCATTCAGTTGTCTATCCCAAGATCATACTAGCTTCCTGGGGCAACCAGTCATTGGTCTACACAGAAGTATACTCTGTCAATTCACCCCAATTCAGAAGAACTCCAGAGGAACATCCCAACTTCAGAGCCAGAGCTCCCCAGGAGGTTAGCTAAAGCTTTGTTGTGATGACTTTGGAGCTCAACTTCTGTGTGTCTAGTCCTGCTTCCTTCTCTCCCTTCTACAGGTATTAATCTTAAGAGCCCTCCCTAATGAACACCCTGCATGCTAGTCTCTGTCTCATTCTGCCTCCCTGGGAGCTCACCTTGCCAATGGGAGTGAAATGGTCTTTAAGTAAGAGAATGAGAGGTGAGATTGGTTTGGGTGGTGATAACTCAGATCAGTGTGAGGATGCGCTAAGCTGGGGAAAGACTGGAGGAGAGATCAGTTAGGAAACGAGCAAGATTCCAGGTAAAAGATGATGAAGTCTTGGGTAAGGGTAGAGGCAAAAGCAACTCTATGCATTGTCGCCAGCTTTCCTGTGACCAGCCTCATGGAGCCTAGTCCATAACATGTTAGCTAAAAGAAGTTCTTCCTCATAGGCAACACAAGTGAAAATAGACAAATCAGATTACATCAAACTAAAAAGCTTCTGCACAGCAAAAGAAAGAATCAACAGGGTGAAGAGACAACCTATGGAGTGGGTGAAAATTGCAAACCCATCTAATAAAGGATTAATATCCAAAGTATATTAGGAGCCCAAACAACTCACTAGCAAGAAAACAACCTGATTTAAAAAATGAGCAAAGGACCTGAATAGACATTTCTCAGAAGAAGACATACAAGTGGCCAACAGGTATATGAAAAAATGCTCCACATCACTAATCATCAGAGAAATGCCAATTAAAACCATAATGAGCTATCACCTTATACCTGTTAGAATGGCTATTATCAAAGACAAAAGATGTTGGTGGGATGTGGAGAAAAATAATTGTATGCTGTTGGTGAAAATTTATACTGGTACAACTGTTTTGGAAAACAGTATAGAGGTTCCTCAAACAATTAAAAATAGGACTACCAGGCCAGAGCAGTGGCTCACGCCTGTAATCCCAGCCCTTTGGGAGGTAGAGGTGGGTGGATCACGAGGTCAAGAGATCGAGACCATCCTGGCCAACATGGTGAAACCCCGTCTCTACTAAAAAAAATACAAAAGCTAGCTGGGCATGGTGGCATGCACTTGTATTCCCAGCTACTCGGGAGGCTGAGGCAGGAGAATCACTTGGACCTGGGAGGTGGAGGTTGCAGTGAGCTGAGATCGCACCACTGTACTCCAGCCTGGCAACAGAGCAAGACTCCATCTCAAAAAAAAAAAGGACTACCATATGATTCAGCAATCCCACTACTGGGATATGTTCAAAGGACATGATATCAGTATGTTGAAAAGATATCTACACTCTCATGTCAACTGCAGTGCTGTTTACAATAGCCAGACGTGAAAACAACCTAAGGCTCCATCAATGGGTGAATGGATATAGAAAATGTGATTATATTTATGAGGAAGGCATGTTGAAGGCTGAGATGGGTCAATAGCTAAGCCTCTTACTCCAGTTAGTCAATTTGTAAATGCAAAGGAAAAGTTTTTGAAGGAAATAACAAGTACCTTACTGTTGATATAGAGAAAATTTGAGTGGTCTGGATAGAAAATCAAACAGCTACAACATTTCCTTAAGCCAAAGCCTAATCCAGAGCAAAATCCTGTTTCCTCAATTTTATGAAGGCTAAAAGTGGTGAGAAAGGTGCAGAAGGAAAGTTGAAGGCTGGCAGTGGTTGGTTTATAAAGTTTAAGGAAAGAAGCCATCTCCATATAACAGTGCAGTGAAACAGGAAGTGCTGATGTAAAAGCTGCAGCAAGTTATCAAAAAAATCAAGCTAAGATAATTGATAAAATTGGCTACACTAAACAATAGATTTTTAATGTAGACAAACAGACTTCTATTGGAAAAAGATGCCATCAAGGACTTTCATAGCTAGAGAGAAGTCAATGCCTGCCTTCAAAGTTTCAAAAGATAGGCTGACTCTCTTGCTATGGACTAATGTAGCTGATGACTGTACCATTGACACCAATGCTTATTTCCCACTCCAAAAATCCTAGGATCCTTAAGAATCATGCTAAATCTACTATGCCTGTGCTCAATAAATGGAACAGCAAAGCCTGGATGATGGCACATCTGTTTACAACGTGGTTTACCAAATATTTTAAGCCCACTATTGAAACCTACTGTGTAGAAAAAATATCTCTTTCAAAATACTAATGTTCAATAACAATATACCTGATCACCCAAGAACTCTTAGGGAAGTGTACAAGATGATCAACATTGTTTTCAGGCCTTCTAACACGACATTTATTCTCTAGCCCAAGAATCAAGAAGTAGTTTGGACTTTCAAGTCTTATTATTTAAGAAATAATTTTAGTGAGACTATAGCTGCCATACATAGTGATTCCTCTGATAGCTCTTGGCAAAGTAAATTAAGAACTTTCATGAAAGAATTCACCGTACTAGATGCCATTAAGAACAGTTGTGATTCATTGGAGGAAGTCAAAATATCAACATTAATAAGAGTTTGGAAGAAGTTGATTCCCCTCATGAATGACTCTGAGGTGTTTAAGATTTCAGTGGAGGAAGTAACTGCAGATGTAGAAATACTAAGAGAACTGGAATTAAAGATGGAGCCTGAATATGTGTCTGAATTCCTGCAATCTCCTGATAAAATGTTAATGGATGAGGAGTTACTTCTCATGGATGGGCAAAGAAAGTGATTTCTGCTAACACAACATTTATTCTCTCCAAATGTTGTGTCTCTCCAAATGGCATTGCATGATGGTATGTGCCCTCTCAGGGGTGGCAGAAGAAACAAAGAAAAGAAGTTCTGTCTCCTTACTGAGTAGTGAGTGGATACTCCTGGTGAATATGCTGTGAACATTGTTGCAGTGACAACAAAGGGTTTAAAATATTATATAAACATAGTTGATACATCGGCAACAGGATTTGAGAACATTAACTCCAATTTTGAAAGAAGTTCTGCTGTGGGTAAATTGCTATCAAACAGCATCACATGCTACAAAGAAATCTTTCATAAAATGAAGAGTCCACTGACGTGGCAAACTTCATTGTTGTCTTTTTTTATTTTTTTTATTTTACTGCATTTTAGGTTTGGGGGTACATGTGAAGAACATGCAAGATTGTTGCATAGGTACACACGTGGCAGTGTGATTTGCTGCCTTCCTCCCCATCACCTATATCTGGCATTTCTCCTCATGCTATCTCTCCCCAACTCCTCACCCCCTGCTGTCCCTCCCCTATTTCCCCTCAACAGACCCCAGTGTGTAGTACTCCCCTCGCTGTGTCCATGTGTTCTCATTGTTCAACACCTGCCTATCATTGTTGTCTTATTTTAAGAAATTACCACAGCCACCCCAGCCTTCAGCGACTACCACCCTGATCCAATCATCAGCCACTAACATGGAAGCAAGACTTCACCAGCAAAAAGATTACAACTCAATAAAGGCTTAGATGATTGGTAGCATGTTTTTAGCAATAAATTATTTTTGAGTTAAGCTATACACTTTTTTAGACATAATGCTATCGCACGTTTACTAGACTACAGTATAATATATGTATAGTGTAAACATAATTTTTATGTGCACTGGGAAAATAACAAATTTGTATGACTCACTTTGTTGTGATATTTGCTTTAATAGAGTGATCTGGACTTGAACCTGCAGTATTTCCAGGGAATACCTGTATTCTTAAAAACCCCTGACAGTAGATTTTAAGTGTTCTCACCACAAAAAATGGGAGGTAGTACATTTGTTAATTAGCTCAATTTAGCCAGTCCACAATTTATACATATTTCAAAACATCATGTTGTGCAAAATAAATATATAAAGTTTTTACTTGTCAATTTGAAAACTTAAAAAAGAAGTCCTCCTTTATTATGGCCTGAATCTTTTCATTTTGTCCCTCATTTCTAATCTACCTTTGTGGAACATGTCTACTTTCTTACCAAAAATATCTTCTCTGTTTCCCTGGTGAACAATCAGTTTCAACAAGCAGCAGGTTTGATCAACCATTCTTCTCAGAGCAAGAAACCTACCATACTGGGAAGTGTTCTTTCCATTTCTTTTTGAATATCTCCTATGTCAGAGAGCTCATTGTCTTACAGGCTGTGTATTCTCATTGATATGGTTTGGCTTTGTCCCTACCCAAATCTCATCTTGAATTGTAGTTCCCATAATCCCTATGTGTCATGGGAGGGACCAGATGAGATGTAATTGAGTCATGGGGGTGGTTACCCCCATGCTGCTGTTCTCATGATAGTGGGTGAGTTCTCACAAGATCTGATGGTTTTTTAAGGGGCTTTTCCCCTTTGCTTAGCACTTCTTCCTGCTATCATGTGAAGAACATGTTTGCTTCCCCTTCTACCATGATTGTAGTTTTCCTGAGGCCTCCCCAGCCTAGCAGAACTATAAGTCAATTAAACCTCTTTCCTTTGTAAATTATCCAGACTCAGGCAGTTCTCTATAGCAGCGTGAGAATGAACTAATACACTCAGTCTCAGCTGAGAGCCTTATACTAAACCTGAAACTGCTTGTAGCTTTCACCTGGTTCTAGTTATGAGACATATCATCATCATGGAACAATGTGTTTAGAAGTCCTAGTTTTGGAATCAAACAGAAATTAGTTCAAATCCAGATTCTGCTACTTAAAGTGACCTTGGTCTTTTTATGTCAACCAGTTTGCTCAACTGTAAAATGGGGACAAAAATAGAATCTCCCTGATAAAGTTACTGTTTAAAAAAGAAAGAATATTTTGGCCAGGTGCAGTGTCTCACACCTGTAATCCCAGCACTTTGGGAGGCCAAGGCCAGCAGATCATGAGGTCAGGAGTTCTAGACCAGCCTGACCAACATTTTTACTAAAAATACAAAAATTAGCCAGGTATGGTAGCACACACCTGTAATCCCAGCTACTCAGGAGGCTTGAACCTGGGAGGCAGAGGTTGCAGTGAGTGGAGATGGCACCACTGCACTCCAGCCTGGACGACAGAGTGAGACTCCGTCTTGGAAAAAAAAAGAAAAAAGAGGAATTTTAAAGCATGATACCTGGCACATTGTAAATGCTTAATAAGTGGTCGATATTATTATGGATATTAGATGTCAATTGAATATGTCTTCCAAAGGCATTGCATTATGATATGTGCCCTCTTCAGGGTGGCAGGGGAAGCAGAGAAAAGTTCTGTCTCCTTACTGAGTTGTGAGTGGATACGCACCTGACCTCTTTGAACAAAATGCATGTTAAGCACAGTAATGGTGTATAGACTCTCATGCAGGACAGGAGTAAGCTATAATCAGGGTGTCTCCCATGGCTTATATCTGCCTACTTAGGAGGAAAAAGAATTTGTTTTCCATTTACCAAACAGCAGCCCTGCATAATAAGAAGGAATTGATTTTCTCAGCATTCCATTAGCTCTGAGTCTTTCAAGATAGCATAATGCATTCCAGTGGGGGAGATGAATTACGTCATGAGGGAGCTGGAACAGGACCTGGAGAGGAATCAGGCTGGGGTAGCAGCTTTCAAAGGGAATAATCTCACTCTTCTACCCATTTCCCTTATATATTTTTTCAAAATCTTTGAAGCTTGGCATTTTGTATCCACCTTTCTGATCCAGACACACATTTCATAACCAGCTCAACTGCTGACACAGTTAAATAATAATGAGTGGATTCTCATAAATCTCAACTTTTTCTCTTAGGAAAACCCATGGAAGAGGCTGCAGAGTGGTG